CGTCTTCTCCAGTACGCCTAGCTTAATAGTGTTGGCAAACGCGTTCATCTCATGGCTGCCAGGAAGCCTTCCGCGAGTCCCCGAGGGCACCATATAGGGCGGCAGCGAGTCTAATTGTGTTTTTGATGCTGCGGTCGATGGAGGTGGCGGAAATAGGATTGGGGGACTGACTGCTGTAGGACTATTTACATCTTTACCAGGGTTCTGCTTCTTCCATTTTGTGCGCCGATTCTGGAACCAGATCTTTACCTGTGTCTCCGTGAGATTCAGTGCAAGGGCCAGATTGAGGCGCTCATAAACGGACAGATAGCGTGTGCTTTTGAACTTGTTCTCCAGAGTAACCAGTTGTTCGTAAGTGAAGGCGGTTCGGGCACGGCGTGTCTTCCGTCCGGACACGGAGACACACATACGGTCACTCTGCCTGTCTTTTCCCTCTACATTCCACTCGCCACCGTCCTCATAACCACCTGCTGCCGCTGTTGCTGCTGGATAGTCGACAAATTTTTCACCGACAGATGAACTTCTGCTGTCTGTCTCCTCATCCTCGTGTGTCTCCTCGCCCAAGAGGCTGCTCTTACCGTTCTCCCCTGCCGTGCCTGGATGTCCAGACATAAGGCGTGCCCGTTTGCCTGGGGTTTCTGACAGATCCGTGGGCTCTGTATCGAAGGAGTTTACAGAGGTGGAATCTTCATCAGGACTAGTATCCAGACTGGTATGACGTCGGTTACCGCACAAGACACCTGAAGAGGTCCTGTCGATGGGAGTCTGGTAGGTCGCACCCTCTCTTGTATTCTCTTGGAAGCATGAATCCTCGTTCATCCGGTTATTTTCCTGAATTTTACCCTCTGAGTAGCCCGTCGACGTTGCTGAAAGAGTACAGATAAAAACTATAACAATAAGTTTTAAAAAATATCTCATTAAATGTTTGATGAAAGCAGTTAATCCAGTTCTGCAAAGATTCCCCTTCAAAACTGAAGAGGCCAGTGTTCACAAACGTACGCTTTCAAAAAATCCCCAGTAGTTCCATACAACTGCATGCAGAAGATGAGGATACGGGCTGCATCCTCAGCCCTACTCAGTGCACATTCAGTTTTTCACTTCATTCAGTTTTTCACGACAATACACCTTACTAAAAGGACGTATGAACTTTGCCCTGTGTGGACTGGTCGGGGATTCACCAGATCCAGTCGTTAACCTGACCCTTACAGTGGATAATACTCAACTGGACGACAACAGATTTTCACGTGATGTACGTGATTTCATCGAAATGGGAGAAGTCAATACAAGAACTCAAACTTGCAACGACAACGGTGCTGTTATTTGTTCCTTCTAGTTCCGAGGAGATAAAAACGACGGTGCGGAAATAACAGCTTATATACCAGAAAAGAGATTGGGGCCGGGTAAGGGTTCTTTATACGCAACAACCTAATTTATGGCATAACTAACTACTTATTTGGTTGTAGTTTATTATTTATTTTGGTTATTAGTTCATTTGTTTGGTATTTAGTTTTAGTAATTTAAGTTTGGTTTTTCTTTTAGTTTATTTTTTAGTTAGTTTACTTTAATATAGTTTACTCCGGTTAGTTTATTTTGGTTTTTAGTTATTTCAGTTTAGTTTAGTGTACTTTATTTTAGTTCGTTTAGTTTATTGTTTAGATTATTATCTAGTTTTAGTTTAGAGTTAAGTTAGTTTAGTTTAGTTTGTGTTATGGGTGATGCTTATATGGAACTCTTACCGACTGCTGATGCGTCGAATTCCCGCAGCTGCCTCCCACAGCAGCACAAGGTTAGCAAAGCACACGTGTTTTAGCTTTCAGTTATTATTTGTGCTGCCAATATACCAAATCATGCAATGTCTGTATACCGTCCTTCGCCCTCAAAAGACCTAAAATTATCGAAGCTAATTCGGCCAATGTGTAGTGCGGTCTTCAACTGG